AGGCACGAGAATGCACCGTTGTGGTTGCATGATTCTTTCACAATTACCAAGGTCTGTTGTTGCCGCCGCTGCTGTTGTTGAGCAAAAAATTATTCGGCAACATCATTTATCGTGATAAAGCGTTTGTGTCATAGCCGCACGCACAAAATTTGGCACGCGCACGCCTCGTGCACGCGCGCGCCACGTGCGTGCGGCGACGCTAAAACAATGCCCGTCACGCACACGCAGGGCTGAGCGCCGCAGTTCAATTCGAGGTGGAGACATTCTATCATCTATCTCCCAATCTATAAATGTAACAATCGGTGCCGTCGCCAATTAACTTCATAGACGTCGCTGTGGTCACATTTTACGAAATTTCAATTTTTTTAAAATTCGTTTTACCAATTAAAAACTGATGCCATTAACGAACAATCTCATCTTGCAAAAAAAAAAATACCTAACTCCTCCTCAATCGTGCTACATATCCGCCGAAGCAGAAAGGATATATTTATAGTAACGGTTTAATTTGCGCGTGGTTATGAAAAATTCTTACCTGTACAGCCGCACAGATCACAGGGGCTCAGCGCTGTTAGGGAGCGCCAATTAAGGCTGAAATGGTGCCCGCGTGTTGTGGTCAGCACAAGGAACTGAGCCACGTTCGTCACCCCAAACGCAAACTGCAATGCACGAACCGTATTGGGTCTATGCTGAGTCAGCAGCGGGGTGAGCCAGGGACATTGTGATCGGAGCGTAAGTGTGTGTTTATCTCACGAGCCGAACCAGTACCCATATCAACCCATACGCACACAGGACGGAGAGTCTACCTCATGTTATGGACGTGCCATGCCGTGGTGTGGGGATGAAGTGGTAACAGGACCTCGCTCTTAAACCTTTGACCCCGAGTTCGATTCCCGGCCACGGCTGGCTTCAGCGGCAAGCGATGTCCGAAACAAAATCCACGTGATCGACATCCATCCAGCAGTGGATGGCCGATGATGATGACAATGATTGTCATTGGAATAGGGGTGAAGGAGCCTCCCTCTGAAAGTCAGCAACCGTTCGCCGTTCGTGTGAAAAGAGCTGAGGAATGTCGAGTTAGGGTGCTGCGGTGGCGGGATGTTAATTACCTCACCTGGTATTCAGGAGGTCGTGGGCTCAATCCCGATCCTGACGCCTGTTGTATATTTCAAATTTGCATGTATCCCAGTGGGGGCGTGGATTTTGCTTCGGGGTCATCTGGGTTTTCCCCCTGTACATTTAGAAACACGCGTTTAGAGTATTTGGCTGTGATAGATTCCCACTTGATAAGCCACTTCGTTGAGCTATGATTTGTGGCCGGGTCCCTTTTGAAAAAGGGATATGTGATAGCTCAGTGGGCCTTACCAGTTTAAATAGTGTTAGTTTTTTTCAGTTGCATTATAGGGTAAAGGTGCAGCCCTGCAATTTCTTGCTCATACCACTGCTGGCAGTAGGGTCTCGACTTGAGCAAACTACAACAGCCCCTCGAGAGCAGTGTTCTTCATTAAGCTTCAGGGAGTGCGTACGTACTGCTCTAAGCGTACGTACGTACTCCCTCCCACTGGCTTGCCAACTTAATTTTTTAATGAAATTTTGAAAAAAAGTAAATATGTACAAATGCCCGAAACAAAATGCCACCAAATTATTTCCTTCCGGATCAACCTGCATTTGCATCACAGCCCGTGACCCACCTGGAGGGCCTCAGCGGACCACCGGTCGTGCAGGCAACGACAATGAGAGCACCACCGAGAGATTACTCAATGTGATTAGTTATCGTGGAGGAATATGGACACTTGGTATCGTGGGATCACAAACCTCTTGTTCGTGAATGGCCGCACGCCGCCATCAGAAAGAAATAAAAAAAAACAAGAAAATGCGACAAAGCTCAACGGGGGAATGTAACAAAAACCAAACGGCATGGCAGCCGTGTAAAAAAAAACCCCATAACATGACTGTAATAACACGAACGCCTCCAGGCCTTCACGTCGTTTCTCATCGGAAGCGGCGAGAGAAATACTCAAGAGATGTCGCCGTCTAATTAAAACAAAACCTCCGAAATTAAAAAACTCCCAATATTTCTTTACCCCCCCGCCAAAGATTCGCGAACAGATTTGATTAAAAAAATGTTTTCACTTTTCTCCGCTAAAATATCCACGCTGTCGTTGGTCCCACTTTTGGTTTGCGTTGCGCTCTTTATAATATAATAAAAAAAAATACCCCCACGGAAACATTGGTTGTGTTTAGCGGCTCCGGAGTACAGGAGAGCGTCTGTGGATGTCTTTTACCCCCCACCACCCCCATTGTAATCTCCCGTGCCCCATGGCTAATGGGCTTCTTGATCACAACCACGAGCGTCATTAAAGGCGCTGCAGTGGAATTACATCCCGCGTGGCCATTCTCACACCACCCCCGGCCAACGTGAAAGTGCCCTCGCATCTTCTGCCCACGTCCCCCTGCCTTGACATTTGCCCTGCTTTGACTTTGTTTATTCCCTTTGTTAAGACCCCCCCCCCCCCCCACGTCTATCCCGTTCACTGCGTAACGCCTGCATCCGAATCGCCCGGAATGCACCCCCTCCCCCACCACCAAAAAAAAAGATCCCCCATGTAGCCTCAGCAGACTCTCGGGGCAAGTGCCGTCAGCGAGTAGCAGCACCTATGAAGGGTGGCACGGCACACGAGGAGGTGGGGTGGCTAGCACCACGCCCAGCCGCCTTTGTCTCCCCAGTGACGATGTTTACACACCGCACCAGGTACTCATTTGAGGCTGAGTCTACCTAGGGGAGGTCCAGGACCGGTTCAGATAATAATCATCACTGGTGTTGGCCGTGAGCGGGAATAGAACCCGGGTCGCCAGGTTCATAGAGCAGCGCGCTAACAGCTACACTACCACTCCGCACACACACAGACACACACGAGGATACACACACACACACACGTACGCGCATCAACACGCGTGCACACACTCGCGGGGTTGTTCTTATAATTTGTGGAGCCTTCATATCACTCACTTAGAAAAATGACTCACGTTGAAGGTGACTTTACATCATTCCCTACTCAAGAAATTGCCCCGTGGCTTCATGAAATGCGATCCACGGTTCAGGCCTAATACAATGTCACGCGTGTCACGCAATTTTTTCCTAAATTGTGGAGTGATATACAATTTATTTCTACCTTTCAATTTCTGAAAGGTATAAATAAAATTACTATTGTTTTTGGTCAAATACCCCGTAACAAGCGAAATAAAAAATGCATATAGCAATAATTATTTATTTTTAAAATACAAAACCACAAACTTGAACTAAGGAAAACAAGCGAGATCAAATAATCGTGAGAACGTTGGATAACTCGTGTTATTTCGGAAAGGCTTTCATCACTTGATGAATACTAATCCCTCAAGGTGCTAATTTAACACACATTGATTTACATATTCTAATTTATTACCACTACGGGAGCGGAATCTTTATTTTTGCCTTTCACAATTGCAACTTCACAAGGTACAATAATTATGAGCCGTCTGTCAATCTACTCACACCGACCTCACTGCAATCACACGCTCTCTGAAGACCTTTTACAGCACTTCAGCAGGACACCGAATAATTACCACCACCACTCAGCTGACTGCAGCCTCTAACCGACCGACGGTGCTCGGATGAGCAATCACCACGCACACACGAGTTGTCAAACTCCGGGGCTAAGTGGTGGGGCAGCAGAGCTCAACAACGATTGTTGTACCAGTAGATCGTACACCTGTGCTCCACGCAATCGGCAACCCGTACTGACCAGCGTGAAGTATGGTCAAACAGGCGCGACAACCTTCGTAGCCTGGGGGAGGCCCTCTATGTGAAGTGGACTGGTAAATAAAGCTCGGTGCCGGATTATCCACACTTTCAAGGGCCCCGAGCTAAATGCTTTCAAGCTATCAATTCCGGTTCAGTGATTCTGCACTTGCACTATTACTATAGTACTATACTGAGCTTCAACTTTTATGAACGACTGAGTGTCTAAGGTTAGCGATTTGTCGTATTACCTGTGGCTGTATAGCAAATGAAAATATACAATTATTTTACTGTGTAAGTAAAAAAACCTGTGTTTTAATAGTGAAGTGTTTATTTATTTATTTAGGGGCTCTTTATAACATATGATACAGGCTCCGCAACGAGTTGAATCCGGCACTGGCTGTTCGTTTGCTGTGGACGACAGTGAGTGGCTGGAAGTGCAGGCGCATGGGTTGAAGCCGCAAAGTGTGAGAGTCTTGCTAACGGAAGTAATAAGAGAAGACATCACACGAGGTTGGCACGTGTCTCAGCGTACTTATGCCGTCACAGCGATGAATCAGCACAGCTGATTACATGGGTTCAAATCCAGGTTTTTCAGACACTCGAAATTAAACTCTCAAGTGCAATGGAGTTGCTGGTCTCAGTCTGGCCACCAATGACTTCATAATCCCATTGAGTAAAATTTGCTTTCGCACACTGAATACGTTCCAGGTATGAGAATAATAATTACTAGCTTTTTTGCCCGTCCAAAGACGGGTGTATATTGCAGTAAATATGAAATATACAATAGAGAAATTGTTCAGCTCATGATTATTAATGGAGGGTTGTCGCATGTGGAGTGACGTCACCCGTTAATGGTTATTGTGGAGGGGTGCAGCATGTGGAGTGACGTCACCCCTTCATGGTTATTGTGCAGGGGTGCGGCATATTGAGTGATGTCACCTGCTCTTTGATTATTAATGAGGGAAGGGTGCGGAATGTGGAGTGCGCGACCTTGTGCGTTAGTGTCAATTTCCACGCGGGCATGAATATTAATGAAGGGAAGGGAAGCCAATTTTGCCAGGTGCACCATTCACACTTGTTCACAATCTCACCACACAGATGCTGTTTTGGACCGCTTTCTTAGACTTATGAATGGAAAATCTTTCGTCTAAAATCGTGACACCGACGCGGCACCATTGACAAGCAGGCAAAAATACAAACAAGGCAGACAACGCAGGAAGGGGATGTTGTGATACCACCATTTATAAACAACACGACGCTGCATGTTCCATACATACATTACAGTGTATATAGATATACTTTGTTTAAAAAATTAAATCGAATGGTTGTACAACTGTAGGAATAACGACCGCAAAGGATTGTCAAAGAATTGCACTTTTACATTATTTTAAACTTTTCCGTATTTCACACGATCAAATCGAGAACTGAAATTGACCGGCGTTTTAAATGGACCGATCGGCACGGACACGATTGGAATGCTCTGCAGAGACCGTGCGTCTTGGCTGAGGAGAGGTGGTGGTGGTGGCAGCGACGATGATGTGATGGCGGCGGTGATGGCAGTGGTGGGCATCGTGGGGTTAAGGGAGAGACGCAAAACCGGTGTTAAATAAAGTGTCATCGTGACAGGGACGCGCAGACGTACCTAGCAGGAGTCATGGCACACGGAATCACAATTTTTTTTTTTTGCCACGACACTGATGGTGGCATTGACGGCACAACACCTGGGCGCATGCACATCTACTGTACGTCCTCTTAGGGGATATTAAAAAAAAATGTACAGCGAACAGCGGTAGCACCCACGCACAGGTGAAATGGAATAAAGTAATGAAGAGATTTACCTCCTGCCGCGTTGCCAAAGGGCGCATCAAATTAAACAGGGGTGGGAATAAAAGCAAACCCGTTGAGAAGTTACAATACCAAGTTGATTTATCGCGGCAATCTATTTGCGAAATTCTCTTTGCTTGACAGCCTTAAGTGGCAGGGGGAGGGAGGGGGGGGATATAAATAATGCAACTTCGCTCTGGAAGTCAAGTGTGGCACTAACAGCGAGACGCGTGCCAGGCGTGCGCAATCGCGACGCAAACACGACAGCGCCCGCGCGCGTTTTCCGGCCAACCCCGGACGAAATGCAACGTTTTCCTCTCGTGCTCCCCTTCATTGTCAATGTGTCACCGTGCTGGTGATGGATGGATGGATGGACGGGCGGGCGGGCGGGCGCACACGTACGCCGAAACTTATTTCGCACTGTGCGTAGCCAACCGTGCTAACCGGAATGAACGGCGCTGGGGCAACTCCCAACTGCATTACGGGTCAGACCTGTCCCCTTTTCCCGCGACAGTGCCCGGATTTACGTTCGTTTTTCCAAGTTGTGCGTACCTCGTGACGCTCTTCGTTTCGGGCTATGATAATAATAATAATTTCGGAATAATTTCAGCTCGTTTAAACTAAGTTCAGAGTTGTTCAGACGTACCTTGAGGCTGTAATAAACCTTTATCCCGGGTTTTCCCCGCTGTGAGACCTGCGCATTTAATACAACTAACTTTTATTGCAATTTTTTTAAATTACACGGTCCGGTGAAGTGTTCCTTAATCGACAAACGTTAAGTCCTTTGTCCACCGCTGGGTGAAGCCTCACATGGTGTCTGTCCATGGGGGTTTGTATAACCACGCAGTGGCACGCAAGCACAACTAACAAAAACTCTCGACGCGCTCGTCAACAACACTGGGACCCGGCCGCAGTGGCGAGATGTTAACTGCCTCGCCCTGAGGTCGTGATTCTGACCCCTGCTGTATATTTAGAGTTTGCATGTTCTCACCGTTGCCGGGTGGATTTGTCCTTCAGGTATACCCCCTCCACATTTAGAAACATGCGCTGAAGAGCATTTGGCTGCTCTAAATTTGAACATAAGCCACTTCGTTTGTGGCGAGGTCGCTTCTGAAAAAGAGCTGTATAGCTCAGTGGGCCTCACATGGTAAAAATAAAGATTTTTAAAAAAAAATATTTTAACACTGGCCACGTCTCGTTACCGAAACGTTGGCAGTTATGTATATAATATTTATTTTAAGGCCACAGTGTTATTGACGAGTGTGTCGTGGGGGTCCTGAATGTCATATGCCACTGATGAGAGCCATGGCAGGTAGCCAGGTCCATCGCGTAAGCACGCGAGCCACTGCACCACTCGACCCCCGACTTATTACAGCAGATATTCGTCGGTGAGTGTGCATGATTATTAAACATTCTTAATGAGTAATATGAAGAAGACGTTGTTAGATGTAACTCCTATGAGCATCATAACACAGTGGAATGCCCCTATTGTAATTCAATCATAGCCAAATTTTAGATTGGTCCTTGTGGCATGGATTCACGGCAGCCAAATGGAGACGACACACCGCCCATTGGCTATTTGTGCATGGAGATTTTCTGCTTATTTTGTCGTGGTACACATGGTGCAGTGTTTCCATTTGTCATAGTTAAATTTAAAGTAATTCACATGAGGCAGTAACCTAATCGTCTGCAGTAAGGGCGTAACACGAGGAGGGTTGTCAAGGTTTCTCCCGTGCACACAGCACACAGTGATTAACTCAGAAATGATACCTTTATACGCGACACCAAACATTAGTAACTCTCAGCTGTGACAAAAGTTTCACTTTGAGACGTAAAAATAATGAAGCAAGACAAAAAAAACGTGGAAAAGCAAAATAACAAAACGCATCATTCTGTGGGAAACTTAGAATTCCCCGCAAAGTGTCGCTCAGGAACCCCAGAATTCCCAAACACCAAAGAAAATAAACTCGTCTGCACAACAGATCCGTTTGCCCAAAAACACAATGCGCCTTGCGCAACAGACAGCAAAGCTCAGCGAGGCCACGCGAAGCCCGCGGCTACGCGGGCAAGCTGGACCGTCCAGCCGTAAGCGTGCCTCGGGTTTTTTTAACATCGTTGTCAGCAGATATAAATTAAACTATGTACACCTTATGTAGGATCAAGCCTCGACTGTGCTTCCTACCTGTGGACCTCCCTGCCCACGGCGGGGATGGCGTGGATGGGGACGACATTGTAACGGCGCAACGCCCCCTGCTGCAAGCACGACGGACAGATCCAAGTTCACAAACAACTGCGTAGGCTTTCGCGGGCGTGCAGTTTAGCTCTCGGATGCGATTTCGGTTTGTACCGCGCGAAGCGTCCGACGTTTTGCTTCACCTGCCAGGGGCCGCTTCTTCATTTCGGTTAATAAAAAAACCGTCGGAACACCGTGAGGAACAACACTTGGTCGAACTCGCCTAAGAAACGCGGCACAACCGCCAAAAGCCCACACAGGAGTACACTTAACCGCCACCCAATTCCACCGCCCGTGCATGCGTGCGCTCGCTTCGTTTTCAATTTCAATTTGGCGCCGGCGAGGGCTTTCCAATCAGCGGAACGCGCGGCACGCCCTGCACTTACGTTGAAACCCACCACCTCCCGAAACTGAGCGAGTCAAATGAGCTGCAGCCTCATCGCAGCCAAAGGTGTCAACTCGGGCACTTTGCGGGAGACGCGGACGGGCGACAGCGATTCGTTTCTGGGGCTCGATTTGGAAGGGGCTGGCGGCGCGCCTCTCTCCATCTCTTACACAGGTCTGCTCCGTATTGCACAGGAAAAGGGCGCGAGTGCGGCGCTCCCACTTAACGGGCGTTCGCCGGTACCCCCCGCGGCAAGGGCAGCGAGGGGGTGGTGGTGGTGGTGCCTTTCGGAACACGTGCCCGCAGCGTTGGCACAGAGCCCTTTAATAAGTCTACACGATTCACTTCAGTTTTCTCTTTTAACGGCGAAAACACAACACGGCTACAGCTGAAATCAAAATAACCCCACCGCCCGACACGCGCGTCAGAAAATAAACGCGGCCCGCTTTACTTTAACCCGGGGGGGGGGGGTAGGTGGGGGGGTAGGTGGGGGTGATCGAGGGTCGAGCTGACGAACACGTCGCCCCCCTCGCCCCCCGCATGCAGACACGGGCTGTGCAAACCGCACGCACACGGCTACAAACGGCGTTGACAAAAAAAACAAAAACGAAACAAAATAAATAAGAGCTCCCGAGCCCGTGGGGGCTCGTCTCACCGCCCGGCTGCCACTCGCGGCTCTGCTTTTGAAGAGGAAAATAAAATATTTTTTTTCACCCCATCACCTTGTCCGCACGGAGGTGACGCGTTGCAGGCGATCCGGCGACTGGAAAGGCGGAGGGGCGCTCGCTGTGAACATTGCAATGCTGGCGGTAGTTACTTCACCGGAGCAGCTTCTGCCAACACGGCAAATTAAACTCGTCGCTTCACCTTGTCCCGCACGCAGGTGGCCCGTGCGGGCGCGACCCGGCAATTTGGAAGGCGACCGCTATTAACTCACCTAAACAATTTATCACGTTACCAGGTAAGGCCCACTGAGCTGTATAGCTATTTTTCAGAAGCGACCTGGCCACAAATGATAGCTCAACCAAGTGGCTGGTCATCACGTGGGAATTTATAGCAGCCAAATATTCTAAACTCACGTTGGTAAATCTGGAGGGAAAAACCGGAGAGGAGACAAAGAGAAAAATCCACACGATTACCAACATGCTGGCAGAAGTCACTTCACCAGAGCTTCTGCTACCAGATGGTAGCATGAGAAGCAGCGTGTAACAGCCGGTTGTTGTGCGGATCTTGAGGGCAATTTGGCCACACTTCACGACGCTGATCCAGCGTCGGTTGCAGAAGGGAGTGCGCGTAGAGGCGAGAGCACGAAAGCACGGTTCGACGCATTTTGCCGCACTGCCCTGCGCTGACCGTTATGTCGGGCCGCCACGCAGATGCCTACAAGAACCCGTTGTGCATGGTGGTCACCCGCCCAAGCACGATCCAGGCTCAACCCTGACATCGATTTGGTCATCGGTGGAAGTGTATCCGTGTGCACAGCTCCACCCTAGCTTCTTCGTAGCATTCTTAAAATCCTAACGCTCGCTCTCTCTCCCATGCTGCCATCTGGTGGCAGCAGCTTCGACGAAGTAACTCCCGCCAGCATTGCAAGTGTTTCATTAAACCGCCTGCGCGCGCCATTTCAGACCCCAAGAGCCAAAGGCAGAATTGTATCTCGTTTCTAAAACCGGAACCAAGAGTGGCAATTTGTACCCCAATTTCCAGCGGCACATCCGAGCCGAGCCACGGTACGGGAAGGGTTTCCACCGGCAGTTTGGCGCACCAAGCCATGGGCGAACTGGGATACGCTAGCCTCAGGACATCTGGATCAGGCTCGGGGGGTGGCCAAGCAGGGCCAGGTTCAGCGTTAGGTGAGCCGGTACACGCTGCGAGGTCACGGCGGCATTTACAAAGCGTGTCTCGACTCGCTCGTTGTACGCGACGCAAGATGCGCCGCTCGGATTCTGCAGTGGAAAAATGACCTGGTGCCTCATGAGCCATGGACAGGGCTGGCTCAGTTGCCCAGTGGAACAGAGGCAACGGTGACCACGCGGGGCGGCCTCACGCGGGCGAGGGAGCGGGAGGGTCAGGGTGGGGGCTGGAGTAATGGGGGGGGAGGGTCGAGGGTCACACGGCCTCGGTGGGACCCAAGTAGCTCTGCAGCTTGCGCACGATGGCCTGGTCGAGGGAGAAGAGGTCGAAGTCGAAGGTGGTGCTCGTCACCTGGAAGTGTCCCGTCTCTTCGATGAGATTCACCACCTGTGGCACCCCATGCAAAGACAAAGATCGCCAGTATAGCCTGATCAGACTGTTGGGGAAAGTTATGTTAGCGAGCACCTATGACGGCTGGCACAGCACACGAGATGGGTGGCCAACACCATGCCACCTTTGTCTCCCCAGTGGTGATGTTTACACACCATACACCAGGGACTCATTTGAGGCTGAGTTGACCTAGGGGAGGCCTATGATCGGTTTAAATAATCGTCATTGGTGTTGGCCGTGAGCGGGAATCGAACTCGGGTTGCCGGTTTCATAGTGCGGCACGTTAACCGCGACCCTCCCCCGCTCCCCACAGTCATCATCATCATCAGCTGTGCTCTGTCAACTAGTGGATGAACGCTTCCCCAAGTCATCGGTGTCTCACAATCTCGCAATGCAACAATCCACCTAGCTCTAGCTGATCTCACCGCTCCATCTCCGCAGCGATCGTACTCTCAGGTGTGTCCCCTCCTCTGGCTGGCACTCTGTTTAAAACTACTGGACATCCGTGAAAAAGAAATTCATAGCTCATCGGATTCCTCCAGTTTAATTATTCTGATTTAGCATAATGTATCAAGCATAAAACAAAATATCCGCCCACTTTCATCATTAATACTGCCACTGCCGTTTTTTATATATATACAAGTTTCGTCACTAATTCTGTACTCGGGCTGGCATCTGCTAGACAGACGGACGACCACGCGGGGCTGAGAACAAACAGGCTATCGGCATCATATTGACTGTTAAGAAAAGTGTGTCCAAGCAGGCCACGCCGCTACGTGATGACAGCCGATGGGTCGAGGCCAACGACAAACGCCGAAGATGCTGCATAAAGCGTGAAGGTACAGCCGTGCAAGTGCTCACACCCCTGCTGGGAGAAAGAGCCTACCCTTGAGCAAACTCGATGGTATTTGGTCTACTCTTCTGTGTTGACCAGGTGTGATAGGTGGACGAACCCACACTTTACCCTGCCGCACGTGGCTTGGCAATCGACTTAACGGTGATGAACCCATTCATACTGCTGGGAAGGCGGAGTTGGGCGGGGTCGGGGGGGATTTCAGAAAGTCGCCCCACGGATCGTTCAACTATTTCAAACTATTCAACTATTTTTATTTTACCAGGTAAGGTACCACACTGAGCTATACGGCTCTTTCTCAGAAGCGACCTGGTCACAAATGATAGCTTAATCAAGTGGCTTAACACGTGGAAATTGATATCAGCCAAATACCCTAAATGCGTGTCGATTCTAAATGTGGAGGGAAAAACCAGAGGACCCGGAAAATAATCCACGCAACCACAGGGAAAACATGCACACTACAAATATAGAGGCGTCAGTGTCGGGATCGAACCCACGGCCTCCTGAATACCAGGGCGAGGTAGTTAACATCTCACCACCGTGGCACACATCCAGTGTGCTGACCATTACAATGGCAGCTCTTGAAGACGCTGCATATGCAGGTGAAGTGCCGACGAGCGAGGGGACCGAGCAGAGGGTTTTACCTGCTGCAGGGTGCTCCTCTCGCGCAGCATCATGAGCCTGCGGTGTAGCCGAACCAGCTCCTCCATGTAGGCCTGCACGCAGCCGCGACGGCGGTCAGGGAGGACAGAGACGGCGGCGGACGTGACGATCGGCTCGTGCACGACGCGCTCGTACAATAATAAAAATAAAACAATCCGTGACGTGCATACATTTCGCGATTTGCTCGTCAAGCGCCACATGCCTAAGCTAAATGACACTTTGCGGCTGCTGCTATGTTCTCAGTTGCTCATCATTTCTCTTTTTTTCTTCTATCCCCACGCAACTCCGATCTCCCCCCCCCGCACCTCCGATTAGCAGGTTTGGCTACGTACGGTGCGAAAGATCAAACATTACAAGAAGACAGCAACACGAACAATTAATGTCGCTCATCTTGTAGTTCGGGTTTGTCTGTCCAACGCGAGTTTGAGACTTCATGAATGACAAAGTCAAGGTACCCTGGTGGCTCAGGGCTGATATCATGTACAATATACTATTTTTATTTTACCAGGTAAGGCCCACTGAGCTATATAGCTCTTTTCCAAAGCGACTTGGCCACAAATGATAGCTCAATGAAGTAGCTTATCACGTGGAAATATAAAGCAGCCAAATACTCTAAAAGCATGCCGATTCTACATGTGGAGGGAAAAACCGGGGGGCCCGGAGAAAAACCACGCGACCATGGGGAGAGAGACACGCAAACTCCAAATATACAGCAGGCATCAGGGTCGGGATGGAGCCCACGACCTCATGCATACCAGGCGAGGTAGTTAACATCTCCTAGCCACCGTGGTGCCCCGTGGTGGCACCTCAGCTCAGTGACAGCACCCAGTCGGCAAAACAAAGATCTTGGGTTCAAAACTAAGATTTACAGACAAAAAGCTTTCGGATGTTGGGCCAATTCCATTCGTGAAGTGTTTGGCACGTACTGTGTGTGAATAAAATTTAGAAAACCTACTTAATTGACTGCCGGAAATTGTTTGAAAACAAAAAAAGTATATACTTTATCCTGTGCAGAACACTAATATATTAGAAATAGTTTGCCAAAACAAAACAGTCAATTACTCCCAGTAATTCAAATAACCATTTCACAATGTATCAAGGGTTATTTCATAAACTGCGTGCCATCACCAGACAAATATTACACTTATGCTGCAAGTAGCACTGAATTTAAATCTAACAAACATAACCTTGAACTGGAATGTCACAGCTCCAAATCTGTTATCCACTGCCTGATTTACTTAATCAATTGTTAAATTCACGCATATTTAGAGCTGCCTGGAAACTGGCAAAGGTGATTCTCAGTTTTAAATTTGGATAGAAATTGCCAATGTTTAACTATCGGCCAATATCACTGTGTTGTCTAAAGTCTTGAAGATGTTTGTAAATTATAAACGAATGGACTTCTATACTCAGTGTTCCTTTCTAAATTAGTTTAGGTCCGGCTATCGCCCAAAGCAATCTGCAATAACCAGCCTGCTGAAAGTAACGTATGATATATAGTGTGCTATGGACCAAGGTCAGATTAGCGGAGAAATATTTATAGATGCCAGTAAGGCTTGTGATAATGTGGATCGAATGCTGCGGCACGACACAACTAGAATCATCCGGACTAGGTCCTGATGCATTAAGCGAAGGTTAAAGTCCGACCTCACTGGCAGGCGTTAATTTGTTTCCATCAATAAACAAAAAAGATTGCCAGGCATCTAAAATGTGTTACTCATGTGAATCATTTGGGGGGACCCCGGGGTCCCGCAAAAATCAGGTCAATAATTATTATTATTTTTCAGTCCGCTCACTCGTGATCCCGACAGCAACGCGCCGCCCGCCCAGACTCGCGCCAACAAGCGCCAGCAGGCGGCGATCGACACGATGGGCGCCACCCCACCGGCCAAACGCAAGCCCCGGGCGGCGTCCGCCCGCAGTCGCGCGCGGCGACAACGCCCTCCGGTCAGCCGTCGATCCTCAGCTTCCTTGCCTAGGCGAGCCCGCCCCCCAGGCAGTGAATTTAACATGTTTATGTAATTTTTCAACTTTTTATGAAACTTAGTGCCCCGAGTAGCTCTCGACGAGGCCAATCGATTGACACTAGTTGTGTTGTCGGTAAGGCGAGACTCGTGTCGCTACGTGGGTTTTCCCACCCTGGGGCAGTGATGGGACCCCGGGGTCCCGCCAATTGCTTCATATGGATAATCTAGGCCAGAGGAAGTGACTTCAAATTAGTTCTGAAATCACAAATGGGGCTTCCCCAAGGCTCTATACTTGGCTCCCATTTGGTCTCAATTCTCACCACACACCAAAACCATGCATATATTTCAATATTAATCAGTATGCTAATGATACAATCCTCTACTATAGCGTGAAAGCAGTTACTTATCTGACCGTTGAAATCCATAGATATTTAATAATGTACAAAAGTGGTTCAGAGATAACAATCTAATGATCAATGGCAAGAAAACACGAAGATACTGACTTCACACACACACACACACAAAACATCGGATCATATCAGATGTGAGTTTTCATTTAATTCGCTTATCTGGCTCTGAGAATGAACAAATGAAAATGTGATTGCTGGGCACCTACCATGTATATTGCTGAAATGGATAATCTAGGCCAGAGGAAGTGACTTTACGTGAGTTCTGTGATGTCACCTTAAGCACTAATTCTCTGATGGCCCGCTGCGGGGGGCCTGAATGGGAATATATTGTATAAAGAGGTCACCACTGAGATCCCTGGGTTTGAAATTGGTTTAGACCGGGCTTTCAAGTGCAGCGAGTTGATTGGTTTCAGCCCGGTAACCAATGAACCCCATCAAATTCAATTAAAATTTGGTTTTCACGTTCATTTAATGGAAGATTTATTCTGTGGCAGGGAGTGTCATAAAACGGTCCCTGTATGTGTTGATGAAAAAGGTCACTTGAAGGGATACCAGAAGTAGTTCTCTGATATCTCCTTCCCTTCTCTAATCTGCAGGGGGGGGGGGGAGGGTAAGGCATTGTTCTGGCGAGAGTTCTGAAAGGATACATCGTTTCAAGGAATGATAAATATAGCTCAATTGGAATAGCATTGGAAAAAAGGACAATTAAACAGATTCATTTACTGCAAAAAAATAACTGGAAATGTCTGACCAACAGGGTTGTAATACCTTCAAATATCCCATATATGCAATAACTATCGATTGTGCAGCATGTTATTCACCGGGTCATGGCATGGCATTTGAAGTAATTTAATTTAATTCATCATTGTCTTACGCTATATTAATTTTCCTTGTGACTACGGGTCACATGCGCTATTACTCTACCTGTGTACATGACCACGGCTTTGGATCAGCTGTCGTAAAGGTGGACAATGTTATTCATATAAATACGTGGTGGATCTATCATCAAAATAGACTATACATTGGGTATCACTTTGCAAACTACGCAGGTCAGTTGATGGTATACATGCCAATGTACGGCACTTTGAGCGCCTTGCATATCTGATCCACATTTTTAATTATTAAATTCACTTTTTATATTAAATGATCGTCTCTCGCCAGTGTTATTCACGATTGCGCTATTTGGCATCATGTTATGGGACCTACATTGTCCATTTGAAACTCTGGCGGAGTCGTGCACCACCCCTTAACAGAGCACAGCATGTGAAAGGAGATAATTCCGGAATTCCTTCTGAGATCCCTTCAAGTGATCCCCTATTCATTCTCGGGTCGCTGTACTTTTCAATGCAGCCCTGCTCTCTTAAGTGATGTTCAGTGCATGACCATTTTTGGTAATTCTCAGTTGCTATTTTTTTTACTAGATTGCACTGTGAAAAAAACGAATGATGTTTTTTTTCATGCAATCATCAGTGAGCAGGCTGAGACCATAAAACTCAAGACACATGGTTTAATTATGGGTGGCACGACAGATTAGAACACAGGCTCTCTCTCAGTACAGCCAGCTCAGTGAGTGATCTGACCCTCCTCAGTACCGGGCCAGATTGAAAAACATTTTCCTTACTTTAGATAAGTAAACAATGGAAAACAAACGCTGACATTATCCACCATTGTTATGCAAGTTTACACAACAGAGTTTGTAACACCCCCGTAGTAATGCTGTACACGTTGCGCGTAGCGCACCCAAACTCTCCGTCAAACGCTAGAAAAGACACAAGCAACAGATAAACACAATTAGAGACGCATGATGAGGAATCGACCCAGGGATCAATACGAATTCCCTCCCCACTCTTGTTTAATTCACTCTTCTCCCAAGTCCCTAGGGCCAGACCCATGCTCCATCCTTCCATTGTGAGTCACAGTGCAGTCAGGACTAGTCCACCTCCGTGAGCTGTGGCGAGGTCAAACCTCACGCTGAACAGACGTGGCGAATGGAACCGTACAAATCGCCAATCATTCGCTTCACCGGTGTGTTTTTAGATTGGTGACGGTATACAGGAAGGAGCACGTGTAAATGTGTGTTTTTATATATCCTGGATGTTTTTGGTCAGGGCTCACTTTGCAAATGACACATCTCAATAAATAAGGGTCATTGGCCTGAAACGTCACCTTTTATATACTTCTGCCTTTTAAGGCCAAGTTTTTAATGTATGTATGTTGAACTTGTACGTAGCCAACCGAGCTAATCGGTGGTGGGGGCGGTGTTGAAGGTGTTGAGTTTTTATTTAATATCTCAATGGAATATCAGAGTCCAAAGATTCCTGCCCACGATCACAAATCCGCATGAATACATCCCGGTCTTGTCAGATCTCAAAAGCTACACAGGGTTGAGCCTGGTTAGTACTTGTACGGGAGACTGCCTGTGCATGCCAGGTGTGGTAGGTATGGGCTGCAAGATGAACAAGCTATACAACACAGCATTGGATTCTTGAATCTATCTGTGTTGGATTTCCTACCATGTGCCAAACATTAACGGAAGAGACCACCGCAATGGGAAACGCCTTGAGACGTGGTAAGGATTTCCTGTGTAAATATAGGGCATTGTTTATATACCCCTATAAAATCGGCACATCAAATAGCAATACTTATGCATGTTGATGCTACTAAAAACCCCAAAATTGTCAAAAGAAAATCTAAAATCGGAATCTTGATTTATACCGGAGGAATCTGATGAGCTATAGTGCTCTTTTTCACAGATGTCCAGTAGGGGCGGGTCAGAAAGTTACATCAATAAACATTACAAAGGCACGATAGAAGTGCAAAGTAAAGGAAAGGAAAGCAAATCACCAAAAAAATTTCATAATAAAAAAAAGGTTACTCATTCCCACAATAATAATTTGAATTTAATATAGCCACTAACACTATAGCCATGTCATTATGTTGTACAAGACAGCCATGTAAGTTAACTCTGGATTATCTGTGTTATGGATTAACAGAACTTACAAAAAATACAAATGAACGATTTTGTACACATGCTGGTTTGAATATGAGCTGCTCCTCACTCGTAGAGGGTCCATGACTGAGTGCACATGTAACAGCAAACACATCAGCAAGTAAAACTTGATTACTTTCAAAATCCATGAAAACATATGGCACAATCTACCTATTCGCACACAGTCTTTGTAGGTGAGTAATACATACATTTGTATAGCCTGATTTACATGTGCTTTGTTTTATTCACGTTCGTTTTATCTGGGCCACCACCCGCTCCTCCAAATTACCCCTCCCCCCCACCCTGGATAAACAAAAGTTGACTGTAAACGTAAGCAGCTCATTGAGAAAAAAAAATCTTACTAAATCCAAATAAACACATGGGCTTGGGTGGATTGAGCTGTGGGCCCTGTTTAAAGCAGTTTCAACCACGTGACCCCGCGCCAACAGCGAGACTTTAATTTAATCTGTCACGAGTGAGGCAACAGGTTATGCAACCAGGAATGAACCAGGGGATGAAATCCTGACCCAGTAGTCGAAATTCCATGTTCCAAAATGCAGGGACAATTTTATCCACAGGATATTCATAATTATATATTTATGCGACTGGAGCAGTCGAAGCCATCCGGCCATCTCTAAAGATTTTTTTGCAGACACCGGTAGGAACCACGAAAAACAACAACCGCCATTCGCCACTAAGTGGCAGTGAAGTCGGCATGGTGCTTTGTGCCAGGCAATGAGCACTGGAAGGCCACGTTAAGTGTGGAACGCCTATGATCCCTTCCTTCACCAACCGGTGGTGCCTACCAGCGAGGTGAAATATCCTCAAATAAGCCCCTTGGCCTGCATGGCATGGGGGGGGGCCTCCATCCAGCGGTGGATTGACGAGCGCACGTTAGTGGAACTGTGCAGAGTGCCCGCAAAAAATAGTTGCGTGCAGCTATGAAAAAAGAAGCACCTTGCATGCATTTGATTAATAAAAAAGAAACCCGAAACAGTGATTTAGAGGACGCACAGTGGCTGTGAGATTGGAATTTTTCATTTCTAATTACACCGCAGGTTAATATCCATTGTAATCTTAGATTCCAACTTGTATACATCATCCCCATCTAGCAGTGGACTGACAACGGGGTTGTACATGTACGCTACATCAGCCGGGGCGACACGTGAGCTTGGCAGCTATGAAAAAAAAAGCCCGCCGTATGATGAGCACGGACAAAACCTGGGCTTTGTCTTGGCGAGGATTCATCGGTGAGCTGAGAGGAGGGGACGGTGAGCTGAGAGGAAGGGGAAAGTGAGCTGAAAGGAAGAGGAAGGTGAGCTGAGAGGAGGGGACAGTGAGCTGAGAGGAGGGGAATGTGAGCTGAGAGGAAGGGGATGGTGAGCTGAGAGGAGGGGACGGTGAGCTGAGAGGAGGGGACAGTGAGCTGAGAGGAGGGGACGGTGAGCTGAGAGGAGGGGAATGTGAGCTGAGAGGAAGGGGAGCTGAGAGGAGGGGACGGTGAGCTGAGAGGAAGGGGAAGGTGAGCTGAGAGGAAAGGACGGTGAGCTGAGAGGAAGGGGAATGTGAGCTGAGAGGAAGGGGAAGGTGAGCTGAGAGGAAGGGGAATGTGAGCTGAGAGGAGGGGAATGTGAGCTGAGAGGAAGGGACGGTGAGCTGAGAGGAGGGGATGGTGAGCTGAGAGGAGGGGAAGGTGAGCTGAGAGGAAGGGGATGATGAGCTGAGAGGAAGGATATGATGAGCTGAGAGGAGGGGAATGTGAGCTGAGAGGAGGGGACGGTAAGCTGAGAGGAAGGTGAGCTGAGACGAAGGGGACGATGAAGTGAGAGAGGACAGTGACCTAAGAGGAGACGATGATGAGCTAAGAAGAGGGGTAGGTGAGCTGAGAGGAGGGGACTGTGTGGGGAGAGGAGGAGGGGACGGTACCTTGTTGGCATGGCGGAGGATAGGCGGTGCGGGCGATGCATCCGAGCTGTGCTCGCTGTCGCTGAGCTCGCTGGACCTGCAGAACATCCGCACGGCCGCCCGTTACGCACTCGAGATCAGCGAGTACTTCAATGCTGTCTACTCTGAGACCCCGGCTCAAGCAACCGGCCTCTCGCTTGCTCACGCAATCGCATAAAGCTCTTTCGCCTTCACGGACGATCACATTTTAACTAAATCACCAGCAGAATTGTGCCACATCTCGTCAGATCTCCGAAGCTAAGCAGGTTTGAGCCCGGATAGTGCTTGAATGGGTGAGCACTGCGCATGCTAAGTTGTCATAGACTGCCGCATGGCTAAGTGGTGGACAGCAGAGGGACGTGCTGTAAACTCCGGTTAAATTAGCCCTCATCCAGAAGTGGATCCACAAATGGGCTACGCATATGCATATCATTTCAATACATGCGAATCATATGTAAATTGGATGCAAGCGTTCGATTTGGCCTAATGGCGGAAACAAAAGCTACAGAAGGCGAAAGAGTACAGACTCAACAGTGAAAACTGAACAATAAATGTTTCATTCTTGAATTGAACTGGGAAGAGTGACGATTAACTGAATCATGTGGGGTGGGTGGGGGGGAGTAAATGGCTAGTTTCCTAGGCCTTACAACCTCTGATCACATTCCCGTCACTGTAGCTCCCCTATCACGCTGCTATGCATACCCTCAAAACTTTTTTTATTGCCTATGGTTTGTGTACCGGAGGCTGGGTGGCTCAGATAGCTAGTGCCGTGCACATGTTAGCAAATTGAGCCAACCGTGTCAAAATTCTGGCTTTGCATCCCAGGCTCTTGCGTGAGATTTACATCAGGCTCTCAAATTGACTACATCGAGCGTCACATAGGGTCAGCCCGGTCTCTTAATACAACAAATCCATGCACCCCTGTTAAATCAAACCATCACGATCAAATGATCAGCATGTTTGGAATGTGCCGCATTGTTTTAGTGGAAGGATATCATGAAAGTGCTGTTTTACAGACGGATACAGTTTGCAGTCGGGGAAAAAGCTGCTGTGTCGTTTTCCCCAAGATAGTAATTTCAATTATGTATATTGGGAGTATATTTCAAATGTGTAAATTCTAGACGTGGTTCCAGCGCACAGTCTAACCCGCTTACAAATAATGTCACGGGATCTTCAGCTTCCACCGTGAAGCGGACTGCATGTATTTATGCTTGATACACCCGTAGTATTAACCAGGGTGGCCCGCCGGAATTCAAGCCACAAACGTTGCAACAAACGGCAAAACGCGCTACCGCTTGGCCATTTCACCTGCCCAACAGTTTGCCTGGAACGGGTTTCCCTGGAACACACGGAGGGAACGTATTGCGATGGTCGTGGGCAGTGGCACCTGGAACTTTTAGGCGCGGAGGGCGGCTCCTGTTCGTCCTCGCTGGGGCTGACGCTGAGCGGCTCCGGAAACGAACGCTCCGACTGGGCTGAAATTGGGGTGGATGGCGGGCGATACGAGGAGGGGGGGGGGATGATGGGGCAGCGGCCTTTGGCGAACCATCGAACAAAGACGGTCACTGCCTCGCTCGCTTTCATATGCGCTTCTGCGGCCGTCTGGAAGGCTCTTCCTTCCGATATTTGGAAGCCACTTGAGCTATGCACTTTTAAATAATCTAGATTGAAAACTAATTGCTTTAGAACTGCTTTTTGTGTTTAGTTTTGTTGTCCTTCCCCCACACCTCCGATTATCGCGGTTGGTTACATTCGGTGCGAAAGAAGTTCAACATACATATACAAACAGGATATCCGAGGGTGACTATGGGCAGTGGACGGTGAACTGAGGCAAGAGAGAGTCGTGTCAACGCAGCGGGAGGAGGCAATTTAAGAAATCCAACTTGTACGTTTCATGATAACAAAAATCTAAAAGGGCTAAAAGGAAATTGAGGCGTTTATCGCAGAAAGGAAATTACATTTATTCATTGAGCTACAGTTATTAAAGACGAGCGTTTACCGATTTCAACATTGTATGTGCGGGTCGGTGTATGAACAAATATGGATATGAGACGTAAAGTGTATGCGAGTATATATATTTGACCACGTAAGGCCCACTGAGCTATGTAGCTCTTTTTCAGAAGTAACCTGGCCACAAAAGACAGCTCAATGAAGTAGCTTATCATGTGGAAATTTATAGCGTGTTTTAAATGCGGAGGGAAAAACTGGAGGGCCCAGAGAAAAATCCACGCTACCACGGGGAGAACATGCAAACTCGAAATATACAGTCGTCAGGGTCAGGATCGAACCCATGACCTCCTGTATACCAGGCGAGGTTGTTAATATCTCGCCTCTGCCGGCACCCATATGAAGTCAGTCGCGTGTGGGTAGGTATATTGTTATTTCTGTGTGCAGGGACATTCGTGCATACGTAGTTGTATGCAGACTTGGGCAGGTAGGTACATTGAGGTGTATGCGTACATTGCAGGTATGTGGTCAGGTACGTTCATGCAGTGTGAGATCTACATAGATAGAGGTAGGTGCATCTAAGTGTATTTTGATGTGTGTAGGAATATTTAGGTATATGCGGGTATATTCCGCTGCAGACAGATATATGTAGATGAGGTAGGTATATTCATATGTATGAAACATATATGTATTTGCCAGTGTTTACGCATCAAGTTTATTTTGTCTAAGCAGGTGAGAACTCAAGGTACGAGAAAAGTGACGTGGGTCACCGCAATGGCAAAAACAAAAATAAATAAATAGCAAACGTAGCAAAAACTGCGCCAACATGATGAATATAAAACATTGAGCAAACGAAAATCAATGTTCAACAAAAAATTCCCAGTGCAGCGCAAGGTGGCTCGGGAAGATTACGTTGCCACTGATCCAAGTAGAGTAATAAACAAGGTGCGGTTTTACCTGGCTCAGGAGCAGCTCCATGCGATATGGAGGACGTGCCACTTGCTACGCTCGCAGGCCTTTCCTACAACACAACGGTGAGCATTACTACACAGCACTCACTCTGCGTTACTACACAGCACCCACTCTGCGTTACTACACAACAACCACTCTGCGTTACTACACAACACTCACTCTGTGTTACTACACAACACTCACTCTGCGTTACTACACAACACTCACTCTGTATGACTACACAACACTCACTCTGTGTTACTACACAGCACTCACTCTGTGTTACTACACAACACTCACTCTCTATGACTACACGACACTCACTCTGCATTACTACACAACACTCTGTATGACTACACAACACTCACTCTGTATTACTACACAGCACTCACTCTGTGTTACTACACAACACTCACTGTGCATTACTACACAGCACTCACTCTGTGTTACTACACAACACTCACTCTGTGTTACTACACAACACTCACTCTGTGTTACTACACAACACTCACTCTGTGTTACTACACAACACTCACTCTGCGTTACTACACAACACTCACTCTCTATGACTACACAACACTCACTCTGCATTACTACACAACACTCTGTATGACTACACAACACTCACTCTGTATTACTACACAGCACTCACTCTGTGTTACTACACAACACTCACTGTGTTACTACACAACACTCACTCTGTATTACTACACAGCACTCACTCTGTGTTACTACACAACACTCACTCTGTGTTACTACACAACACTCACTCTGTGTTACTACACAACACTCTGCATTACCGCATCACGCCCGCTTCAGCACGACACTCACTCGGCCTGACCGCATAGCACTCTCAGCATTACCTTCATGCTCTCAGTAATACCGTCATACATTTGTGTAGTACATAATCGCTGTGATCAGCTGCGACACTGTGAAGCAGGCAGCGTGTATTGTATGCTTAATACACCATCGATATTAACCAGGGCAGCCTGTCGGATTAGACCCACAAACTTCTGCAACGAGCGGTGAAAGTGCTTCCGTTCGGCCAAGTCAACCATCCTATTCGTCCAGCCATATGCAAGAAGATGGCCAGATGGTACCTAATTCATCCACTCTGGTGGATTGTTGATGGTGGGATGAGTCGACCACAAACAATATTCGAATGAATGCGTTTAACATCGGCAGTGTGATTACATACAAACTAACTGGGACACATCATGGATATAAGAATATCTCGATGTTTAACGAGGGAAGAATGACAGGTAAATACATTGTCGTGGCTGATGCATGAACACCTAAGGGACAAAGACTGGCACTTCTAATCTTAAACGTCCCCGGGAAGACTTACAGATTTCTCAGGCCAGCTATCTTGAAAAGAGGACGATCCTGGACAAATCCAGAGCAGTTGGCGGCCCGAAGCTTGATGTTCTCACAAATTAGTTATCCAAACTCATTGCCAATATTACGGCGTGTATTTGTGTTCCCAATCGTATAATAAAACACAGACGAGCAGACATTGTAGCAATGACTCCAACTCTTAATTTCTTTTTTAACTGTTCAGCATATGATTGGCATGGTTGGCTACATACAGTGCAAATTTGTTTTAACATACATAGATATACCAATTCACGCACATCAGACATGAAACATATAAATGACACGAAGTAAATAAATATTCAAACGAAACTCATTTCATATTCTTGGTTTTTTCGGTAAAGTCACGTAGAAGGGAAACAATAAAATAATAAAAATATAAAAAATAAAATTCTCACGACGTTTCAACTGCAGCACAAGCAATCACCATCAGGTGTGAAAACCACAGCAAGAAAATTTGAAAAAAGTGGCGTTTTTTTAACGTTAGCACCACGGAGAGCGATTTGGCAATTATTCAGATGGACGAGTCCATCTATGTCGGAAAAGAGGGGGGGGGAGACGAAAATAATGGATGCGGTCTGAAAGCCACCATAAGCGTGAACAAACAACCCGAAATGGTTTATCAAATCCTTCCAATGATTGCTAAGCCAGAATCCATCTTCTCGGTTGAAATTGTCTCTGTGTTTGTATATGTGGACGGCCTCATGAACGAATCTCTCATGGTAGCCAGATGGCTTGCAAAGAACCTCTGTCTTGGAGAATGAAACTCATTTCGTGAAGGCTATTCCTTTTGACGAGTTTTCTGCTCCCCTTTCAATTATCAAAACTCGAGGCTGCACTGCGCAGTGATGGACGTGGGATTTATTCTTTCCCGCAAACTTTGTAGACCTTAAACGGTTATCAAAGCTGCGCTCACGACCGATCGAGCGAGCCAGTATTTCCTTTCCGAACACCAGGGCAGCATGACCCAGACTTGGAAGCCACTGCACTTTGCGTGTCGCAGATGGATGACAGATACTCACACTCCAGCATCCGAGATATAAATTCAGTCAAAATTTAGGGGGCCACTTTTCATTACGTTTTTTAAAAACGTTTTTATACAAAAACAATAATGTGGGAGAATAATTATTTTCGCCCTGCCACGTTGTACGCACACCACCCATGACCTCTCGACCTTCTACCCCCCGGGCCTCTTAATTTAAACGTTTGTCTGGATCAAAGCGAGGTGTGCAATATCAATCAACATGTTTGGCTCTGTCAATTGAAATGTGAGGAGCACAAGTTGTTTCGAAGACAGACCGAGAGATATTATGTCACTTGGGTTTCAGTGAAATTACGTGTTGTTTCATGGCAATTGTCAGTTGCATTTCTGACTACTCAGCACTGTAATACATCTCTCAAGACTCATTGCATATTTAATAACGTAAACTACCTGTATAATGCAGAGGCAGAGTGCTTTAGCTTAGCGGAAAACACCAAAGCCTGTCACTTCATGTGTTTCTAATTAGCCAATTCAACCCATTGTTACAAAGTTATCTAAATGAGTATCATTATTTAAGACACCGTTCAATTCGCATTATAAACCCAACAATGACATTAATGAGCTCCTCAACAATAACAGTTACTTTCATAGGGATGTTTGGCCAGGTCCATGAATGAGCATGGCTTGCGGGGGAGGAAACACGAATACCTGAAGAACACCCAGACACGCGAGGGGGGTAACACTCAAGAGCTGCGCACACAGACGTAATAAAAAAACACCCATTGCTGTATGGGCCATCTCCTGGCAGCCACCTGGGGGCCCAAACAAGTGAACCGGTAAGCATCCAGCGCATTCAACCACTCACGTCGGTCGCTAGCGACAGCTCGTCGTCCGAGTCTCCTGGGTCCAGCACGTCGCCTGGCGGCGACAGTGCCGGCAGCGGCACCACTGGCGGCGGCACCACAGGCGGCGCCACCTTCCTCTCCGTCACCACCACCTCCTTGTCCGCCTTCCTATGAGCCTTGGTGGTTGGCGTCACCTCCACCCTGCCATCTCTGTCCTTGGGAACGCCTCTGTCTGGTTGCTGTCGGTCAGAGATGGCTGCGGCGGTGGTCGTGGTGGTGGCGGCGGCGGCAGTGGAATTCAGTTTGTCCTTGGCCTTGGATATCCGCTCCACGGGCGGCTCCCTGTCTGCCGGCACCGTCTTGTCTCTGAGCCTGCTGTGCGATTTGCCGTGCGGTTTGCTGGCCGGGCCCACATCCTCGTGTTTCTTGCGCCACGTCTTGTCCCGCGCTCGCTCCTCGGTGGGAACCGGCGCTACGGCTACCGGTACTGCCACCGGGACTGCCACGGGTACGGCCGCCGGTGCTGCCGGTGCCGCCGCCGTCATCTTACCCTTCGCCCGCACGCCATCTATGTCTCCACCCTTCGAGGGCCTCTCCTTGGGCACCGCCTTCTCCGCAGCGGCGGCGGAGGCGGTAACAGCTGGGACAGTAACAGCGGAGGCAGACGAAGCGGAGGAAGATGACGACGACGAGGAAGAAGAGGATGAGGACGAGACTGATGCCCACTGCCTGGACGACACGTCCGAGGGCGGCTTCTTCGCTCTCTTCGCGTCCAGTTTGTCGTCGAGGCTCGCGCGCGAGCGCTTTGGCGCCGGCTTTGGCTCGCGGCTCTCCGCGGCGACGGGCGCTGGTTCCGCCACTTCGCCGGCGTCCGACCGGTCCCTCTTAGACAAGGCCTTGGGCTCCTTGGAGGGGGCCTTGGGTAGCGGAGTGGCTGGGGGTGGCGGCTGCGGCTCGTCCCGGGGCTTGTGCACCCTGGAGGCAGCCGCCTTCTTGATGCTCTCCCTGGAGGGGCCATCGCTGGAGGCTGGCGCTTTGTAGTCCTTGCTCTCCGATGGCTTCTCCTTGTGGCCCTTGAAGGGCTTGGGCGGTTTCAGGGAAGCGATCGGCTTGCTGAAATCCTTCAAGAGCGAGAGAGAAGACGGAGAGACGTGCGGATTAGCAACTTGGTTTAACCGCACGACAGTCCAGTCGAGATTCGTGATCTGATTCTGCAAGGTACTAAAAAGTACGGTATAATACAGCCCATAACAGAACTGCTCATAGGTATTCAGAATTGAATGATCTTTGCAATTCGCTATGTATTGATTTAAACTAGCACTGCCAACACATTTGCGTGGAATATAATTTAAGTGAATTACAAGCAATATAGATATCTTGCGATTTGCCAATGACACTTGCTTGCCGATTTCCAATTAACATCAACAACATCACTAATAACTTTTGAATAATTACACAAATCCAAACTCCCAATATACAAACTCAACTCCAGATATTATGACATCAGAAAACTTTCTTGACGCCACGTAAACATATAACATAACTGAGAACCTCAATTAAACATTACAACTGCAGCTAATGATGGGTTTGATTGATGGGTTATTTAATTACACAATTCGTTATGTAATTACATACATTATCACCATCAAATGAAGGACAAATACTTTCAGTAATTGGGAGAGAGGGAGATTAGTGGATAACCATTGTAATCATGTTGTGACCACATGAACAATCTTTTTTCTCAACAAATAACAGGATAACCACAAGTAAATAAAATATATATTCTGGAAGTAACAGTATAACAAATAATCAATGAATTGTTAACCAAATAAATCCTTGCACTCACGCTAACGGATCGAATCGTGTGAGCAAGCATATATATTATGTTTTAATCTACGCACATCTATCCTTTAAGGTAATGGTGGAAAGAATAAGGCAGTAGGAGGTACGAGATAGAGCAAAACAATGAGCACACAACAAATGAGACAGACAATAGAGAAACAATACACATAGCACAAATGATACCAACGAGACAGTACAGAAACAGCTTGAGAGATAACAAGCATGAACAGCAACCGGCACAAAGGAGACAGCACAAACTAAATAGACCATGGAATTGAGAACAGAACAAACGAGACTGTACAAACAAGGAAAGCAGTGTAAACAAAAATAATTAATATATATGTAGCGAGCACAGTTTCCTTCTACTTGCTTAGTGAGAGAACGATTCAAAAGCACGGAAAACCACAGACTAGCGGGAACGCAGCCACAACCGGCACCAACAATTGCCCAAGCACTGGAGTCCTACATTGACATGTATGGTCAATTATTAAAGGCAGACGGTACACAACTGCTACATAGGCATCGAGACAGAAAAGACGACGCAGTACAGAGGAGACAAGGCAGTAGAGAGACAGGAGAGAGGATACAGTAAGGCATACAGTACAGAGGGGCGACAGACAGTTCAAACAAAAGAGATCAATGATTCAATTCAACCGTGGCCCTAAATCTGACACGTCATTGATTAGCGGTGGACAAGTCATTATATGCCCAGCAGCTATGGTATGCGCGGTGCATGCACTGCATTATGACGAACGTGACACATGGGGGTTCAGTTCCAGGCCATAAAACCTATTCATCGCCAGTCTCCGATCAAAAGAATAATTATATACCTGCTCAAAGTCGCCGACTCAACAGTCCAACAGTGCTCACCTCTCGCTAACTCTAACCCTTAACTTGGCCCGAACCTTGACCAGGAAAGCACGATTCGTACCTTAACATGCAGCGAGGCGGTAGGCTTCCTGTGCTCCAGGTGGCTGGATGACGGCACCTCGGGAGGTGCAGAGAGCACTGCCATGCCGTCAGGTGACACCATCATCTGCAGGAAATACCAGTACGACAGTCTTTTCACATCCGGGGTCATCGGTCTGATTCAATCACTTGGGGATTTTTTTTGCTCGTATTTTTGTCCCCATTTTTATTCTGGCTGTGTTAACGGCATTATGCCGTGAGAGGGAGAATCAGAGCAGTGCAATGCCCGATGTTGGGCAACGGCCCGCAGAAGGAAATATTACAGAACTGCTTCTGAGATCGCATCTTGTGATTCATATCCACACTGGGGGTGGGTGGGCAGAACTTGTTCACCCATCCTGCCAGAGAAAAATGGTCAATATTTTTTATTCTCAGCAATCGAATTTAGATTAATTCATTTTAATATCAAATTGTAATGCGATGGTTTTTGGTGCAGTCATTGGTGACCAGGCTGAGACCATCAATTCACTGCACCTGTGACCTGTTTTTAATAACGGATGGCTGCACATATTCAAACGCAGGTTCTCAGCAGTGCCACTGTAGTGTTGAGATGCCTAGGCCACCTCAAAAAATATTTCCATTACTTTTGGTTTCTAAAGCAGGTAAAAATTGTAACATTCACTACCATCAAAATAATATCAAATGAGCGGAGGCTGTGTTTATCTCCTGCTGTAGAGCTCTGAGACGGTGCTGGAAGTTCCACATTGCTATGGCAGGTATGAGTGTTTATCCACATAACAACTTTTGACTTCACCACAGATATTTACTTATCTTACTGACCCAAGAGGGATGATGGGCCAAGTCAACCCCCAAAACAGGATATGAACTCGTATCATTCCAAATCACGAGCTGCTCGCTCTTCCCGCTGAGCCACCTGGCCCGGTTTTCACTACTATAACCCGCGAGAATATAACGCAGAATCAGCATCTTGAATCTTTATTCATCCTGGAGAAATCCGATGAGCTAAGAAGCTTTTTTCACAGATATCCAGTAGGGGCGGGTCAGAAATTTACAACAGAAAATGATACAAAAAAAACGATCGGAGTGCAAAGTGCAGGAAAGGTAAGCAAATTACTCTAAATAAACTAAAACTATTTTTTATTTTACCAGGTAAAGCCCACTGAGCTATTAGTTATTTTTCAGAAGCGACCTGGCCACAGCAGTGGTTCCCAACCTTGTGGTCCCGCAAGGCTGTGCAAAATGGTTCGGGGAGCTTTTGCAAACACGATTATTCTTCATAATACACCAACGTCATTAACTGTACGGCGGTCTGCAAAATGTTTTTTTGTGGGTTGGCAATAGCCCGTGGGTTCTGAAGGGTTGAAAACCACTGCCATGGAGTATGAGTTTTCTCCTTGAACTCTGAAACACTCTCCCAAGCAAAAAAAAAACACTTAAAATGTAGTTCAAACATCCCGAGCAGTGCCCTGCTGAAATATAATCTTCGACACTTGGTAACGATTCCTCATAAAATTAAATATTATTTTCATTATACTGTACATTCTTAGCTCTGGGATGCTGCCCTGGGTCCAAGAACCAGCATGAAGTCTTTGGTTTACATGTCACATGACTCTTGCATGACCTTATACAAGACATCGAACATCTTATTAGATAAAGGGATAAATAATTCATCTTTTTTTGAGCAAACACATTATTGGCTGTATGGGTCTCCCAGATGTGACCACTGGAAAACAGTAGCGCATATCAGGGCTGCAAGGAAGTACAGCAAGTTGGTTCGTGAATAGGTTTGTGTGAACCTTCGAAGTTGTGCTCCTGTTGCACACATGGTGGGGATTTTCTCAGGGTACTCCGGATTCTTCCCTCGTGCAAAAGCACTCCTTAAAAAAGGAACTGGCCAAACGTTCCGAAGCGGGGCACGCCAGCAAGAGTCTTGACACCAAGTGAGGCTTTTGTGGGATAAATAAATAGCATTTTAATTACTTTAATTAGCCATTTCAAGTCTGGGTGCTAAAGACAAATAAAGCACAACCACGCCGAAGAGTTTATCATCGTCGGCTATGAATAATGAATCCACTGCTGCACGAAAAACTGCCCAACCCATTGTAACATCCCACTATCCGGATGCAACAATCCACCTGGCACATACACACAAGCCTATTTCATCGCTCCATCTCTTCAATTTGACTAATTCCATCCCCTGGCTGCCACTCCGTCATTATTATTAACCATCAACCGTCATCTTTTATAATGGCGTGTCCTGACCGGCCCACTTTTACTTTTCTGTAACCTCCATACGTTCTACTTTACAACGATTTAAAATTGTAGCACAGACTGGTCTTTGACAGATGAGTCATTTTCTAAAGGACTACAATGTGAGCTATCACTCGATTGAGCAAAACAACTTGCCCACATCTCGAAAGTCCTTTGTGATAATCAGTGGAACAATTCTAGAATACCACTCTTTTGACAGCAAGTCTCACAATAAATGCCACCATATGCTTGTCTGTCAGGGTAGCAGGCATCCAACACAGATAAAAATGGCATACGCAGACACACACTTATTTGGCCGAAGTGATATATACAATACTGACATAGGACACTAGTGTATTGAAAAAACTGTGTTTTACTGACAGTTTAATATTTTCGGCTTGGCTTTAAAAACAGAACATGATATATATATTTAAGTCCATACATTTAACAGGCGAGAATGCCACTACGTGTAATACAAGAGTTGCCAGACGGGCTCACCAGCATTAACATATTATGCGATAAGTAAAATAATCACGCTTTAAAACACAGCTGTATACAGTTTTCTAATCAGACCATATATATGCATACACCATATTACCGTAAGATGATACAAGAAATGACATTCACACGACAGCATATCCCTTCTTGAATACTCAGCGACTTAAAAGAGTTTCACGCTAGGCCTTAAGCTTTCAACACCATAATCCTCGGTTAGTCTACAGAGCAATAACAGTAAGTGTTTTAGAAAAAAAAACAGACACACGCGCACACATACAAATACGTCTCAAGCTGCATATGAAGCAAATATAAACTCGGCGCACTTTTGAAAGCACGTCAATCAACAAAAACTAAAAGGTTTAGCGTGTACGGCGTACTTACATTACATCGAGTGCTGCCAGCCGTGCGGACCGTCAACATAGCCCGTGAATGATTAACGGTCGAGCAGATGCGTGTGACTGCGCGCATGTGTGCGCACGCTGGCTGAGCTCCCTGTGCCACGTGGTGCGGGTACGGGCCACGTGGAACTCGGGGGAAGAAGTAAAAGGGCACGGAGCAAAGCGCTCGTTGGCCGAAAACAACGTGTGGAAAAAAAAAAACGACGCGCGTGTACACACACTGCGTGACCACGCGCCGCCGTCACCACAAACGTCGGTAGGGAAAATCCCGCCGGGTTCCCACACCGCTGTCTAACCCCGCGTGCGATGATGCATGCGAAAGGAAACTTAGTGCGCACGTATTAAAATAACTTGGATAACTGGCCGGGCGGTTTCGAAGACTGTCAAAGCCACTGAGAGGGAACTGCCAATAATCCGGGTTTGAATCCGGGTTTCAGCCATCCCGTGTATAAGATTGGGTCGTCAAGCTCAGCGAGTGGATGGCCTCGTAGGGGGTACCGATGACAAATACTGAGGGATGTAACGTTGACTTGATTTATCGATGAAAACAGATTATTACGCTCGGGATACATGCCAATGAATCAAGCGTGTGAAATTCACCACTCCCTACTAGGGCTGTAAACATTCATTTCATACATTAATATTTGTATTTCAAGACTCGTGCCTAATGCGTGCCTAGTATCCTCTGCTGCCCCTATAGTCTGGAATTTCCTTCCCCCAACCATCTGTGCTATTGACTCCCTGTCCTTGTTCAAGTCCAGGTTCAAGACCTTCCTTTTTTCTTCTGCTTATGACTGTCTCCTTCTCTCTGTAAAATAAGTATACCTACTGTCCCACCACAGCATGATGCGCTGAGATGCTATATACATAAAAAAATATTTTGTCGAATAATAATCAAGATTTTCAAATTATTTGGCAAAACTATAAATACAGCATAGTAAATAGAACATAAAATAAAGTTGCATGAAAAGTAAAAAAAAATCTGTTTTATTTTCACGAACCTTGAGTCCTGATGCTGGCTTGCTTGAAGCAAGGGGCATGCATGGCGCGGGATGCTGGGACTATTCAAATCTCGCGGAGGATCGCTCCGCCAAACAAAATAGTTCCGCGGTTCGGTTCGTTAGTACGACCAAACGTTCGCAAGTTGGACAGTTAAAAACAATAACATCTTAAGTTGGTTCGTTCGTAAGCGCGGACGTTCGTAAGTCGGACGTTGATATCTCACGCTGTCTGCAGTACAAATGCATGTTTAGCCATATAACAATGCATGGATTCTTAAGCTCACGATGCCTACGTCGAATAAGGTGAATAAGAATGAACATATTTAATTCCATTATGTTATATGCACGACCGGATGAACACAAATTCAACATAAAGACACAAGGTGATGTTAACGAAATCAAATACAAAATCATATACATTTGATGGATTTCAGTATAATCTACAACTACAAAAATTGCGAAAATGCATTCTGAAGTGTCACTTTATTTGTTGGCTCACCTTTGGCCAAACTGCCACGAGAGAACAACTGGCACTAAACTAATTAAGGGTCCATGTATGTTTGTGTATGTGGAGTGACATATGACATCACTGTGTCAGGACTGTACGAGCATAGGGATATATGACGTCACTACTGTGTTGGCTCGGTATGGGTGCTGTAGGCGGGTGTCACGGAGGTCATGTCAGGCCGTGACACTCTGCGTGAACCCAACAGGACACGTGACCGGACAAAGGGGGGCTAGGGGCCCCAGGGGGGAGCTTGGGGGTCACGTGATTGGGGGCCCGGACTTTCCCGAAGGATCGAGAAGGGGGGCATGGCCTGGGGTAGAGCCGGCCACGCCACGGGAGTTATAATCGGGGTGTAAACAGAGAGCTGGGCTGTTCAACCACGGGACGAAGATGCCATCAGCGGTCCTCGAGTTTCCGATCGTCGTTCGTGAACCAGGCAACCCGTCACCTGCCCTGGTCACGCTGTGCAGTACTCCCCGAGTGTTAGTGAGATTAGCAACGGTGGTCACCACCCTGTATATAATGTTCACGTTGGTTGTTATGCGCTAATAAATAGCGTTGCCACCAAGTTGAGTGTGCGCCTCAATTGAACCCACTACATATGTGTGTGTTTTTTATTGGAAGTGGTGGCTACAAATGCAGAAAACCGAGTTAGATTGCTGGCCATGGCAAAAATCCGTGGCACATGGTGTCTTTTCCTAATCTCCCCCTGGGTGAATTTCTATCATAAATGAGAAACCTGGAGTAGTGCATAAACATGAGCACTGGGGACACAGAGGTGGCAGGGCTTTACAAGGTTCTTATAAACAGCACTTGCCCCAATAGTCTCTAACGGGGTCGGATGGGTAAATATTTTTTGTTGTTGTGTGTACACTGTGTGTTCGTGTGCACAATTTTAAATTCTTATAACACAGATTCAACGGAGTGATTTAGTAATGGCAGGGCAATGATGAATGCACGAGCGGTCCAATAATTCATTACAGCACTGAAAATTAACGTGATCATTTGATTACTTCTAAATTTAGAGCATCCAATAATAATAATACTGTAAGGAGAAGATATTGATCAATTGCGTGGCTGTGAGATTTCCTTGGGCCACATTTGCCTCCCAAGAGCTGAAAGACCCATCATCGGTCGTCGGCATGCAAGGAGCGGACAAAAATCGTCACAAATGACGATGGCTACAACTGCTGTGATGAGACGAAATTAATGGGTTTGATTGAAGACAAAGACGAAGATAGTTTAGTAGTATTATAATTGTACGTATGCTTAAATTCTATCGCACCGTACGTAGCCAAACGTGTGAATCAGAGGTGCATTGAGGAATACCGAAATATGGTCATTTATTGTATATACAGTAAAACCTTGGATTGCGAGCATAATTCGTTCCGGAAATGTATTTGTAATCCAAAGCACTCGTATATCAAAGCACTCGTATATCAGTTGTGATCGCGTGACGCTCGGCAGACAGCGTATATGTACTACTCGTATTGCAAGACCTCGCTTGTTTATCAAATTAATATTTATTAAAAATTTGCAAAACACTCGCAGACCAAGGTACTCGCAATCCAAGGTTTTACTGCATACAGATATAAAAAGAGCCTACTGGTTGGCTGACCTGATATTGGGGTGCCCTCATGCCAAGAGTGGACAAATGATCGACTGGCTTGGTTGATTGACTCAATTAAATCCACGGACTAAAAACTGCTTTTGTGTTTAGTTTGTTGTCCATCTCCCACACCTCCAATTAGCACGGTTGGCTACATAGGGTGCGAAAGAAGTTCAACATACGTACATACATACATACATGACTTATACTCCACAGGGTGTCAACAACCAGATGAAGCCTGTGACTAAATTCGACTGGACATCTGTAAAAAGAGAGCTTCTTAGCTTGTCGGCTTTCTCCAGGATAAAAAAATATATATATTTCGATTCTGGAATTAACACACAGCTGATTAAATCAACATTGGTCAGAGACGACAAACCGCTGTGCTCACTCACCCCGCCAGCCTTGAGCAGTCGCCTGCGGAAGTCACTGGGTGGGTTGCTGAAGGTGAGCTTCTCGCAGCGCAGGTGATTCACGGGTGGCTGCCCCTCCAGGTGCAGGAAGAGGTCATAGTCAAACTTGACCTTTCGCGGTTCCTCCTGTTGGTAAATTATGCGGTTAAGGGTCAGGGTGCGCTCAACACCGACGCATTATCGCGCAAGGGTCAGGACTGATGGACAACGAACGAATGAAGTGACGGACCGATGAACATATGCACAGACCTAAGGATATTCTTTTGTAGTTTCAAATGCACAAGCCTAAGTTTGTCTTAGACATCACAGCAGAGTTTGCCAAATTTTTGGTAGTGGTGCAGTGGATAGTGCTATGCGATATAAACCTAGTGACCCGAGTTTGATGCCGGGCTATGGCTTCACTAACTTGAATTGATCAGCGTGGTGAAGTATAGTTAGACAAGCTCCATGACCGACAGTGTGGGGAGACCTTCATCCAGCAGTGGATTTACAACAGGCTGCAAATTATTTTTAATCGAGTTTATGACTTACACATTTAAACCATTGAAACAGTAACACATGTCTCCATCAGGGTGCTATGTTCCACGTCAAAAGTAATTTCGACCAAAATGCTCTTTGTAAATGGAATATTGCATCCCTTCTATGATTAAAAACTCTCCTTTGTTCGTCAGACTTTAATGGACAAATGTACTTGTTGCTTGATCAATATGAATTTCAGTGCTTTTGAATAATATCCTACACCTCATTTACAAAATATATTTTACTGAAATATTGACTTCTGTTTCTTTTTACTTGTTATTCATGCTTATAATATTAGAGCATATTTAAGCAAAGGGTATACCTTTGTTATTGCCCATACATAGGACTCCACTGAAAGAGAGGATTATTTTCAATGGGCTCTCTCACCTGACTTGATAAAAAATAATGAATGAATGGCACTTCTTACTGGCGGTCGATCGCACCAAGAGACATACAGAGGACAGGGAAATGCGTGACACGTTCAAGGGCTGATTTATAATGGCAGCCAAATGATGCGCTATGGACGACTGGAGCCAGAAGATGGATGCACCTAGGGTGGAAGCATTGTCAAACAGATGGACGCCTGATAGATTAATTAAAGGAGGAATTTGCCGTACACACGATGGACGGATGATTGCACATGGATAGATGCGAGTGATAAAAGAACAGGCTGCCCGAGCTTGATGGATGGACCGCTACGGATGAGGGTTTGATCAACGACAAGGCTGTGGATTGATTCAAGGGGATTAATGAATGGGCCAATTATTGGCCGGAGCACGCGACAAAATACCTGGGGCTCGAGCGACAAGTCTAAGGCACGATCGCAAACACACCCTCAAGACGTTGCGGCTGTTAATTTGAAATCACGATGCACTAGGGCTCACACACACCGCAACGAGGCTGCATAAGACGGTGGCTAAACCACGCATGCATTCCGCAAGTCAAAACCAGCAGTTACCCGGCATGTGCAAATTACACAAGAACGTGAGCTGAACGCAGACAGTGCTGCAGTCGCTTATCCACACAGTGGCATTTCTTGCTTCACGAGCACTTCGAGCCACAGCCCTGGTTCACCGGGAAGCGCTTCTGAGGTTTAAAGCAAGAAGCACTCTCGTCGACCAGCGGGTGCAGAAACGCTTCTTCTGATCACAGAAGACGTACTTTTGTCCAGGTTCACGACAACTTGGCATAACTTCCCTGGTTCGCGTTGCTGGGAGAGTGACCATCCCGCGCGTGAAAAATGCGTGCCGATTTCACTTGGGAATACGAGCGGAGACGTGGTTCTCGTTGGAAGTTATTAGTATTTCCATCTGTGTCATACCTTGTTCTTGAAGTAGACTTCGATGGGAAGTATGAAGCCAGCGTAGCCCGATTCTTCCACCTTGTAAGGGGGTTCCCGGCACACTGTCGTGAGATTGACAGACGGATACACAACGCACACGTGCACCCACGCAAACACTTGTTTACTGACGCACGTCCACTCAGAACACAGTTGCGCAAAAGCAGGCACAATGCGCCAAGCCAAAATGCATTAGCAATGGCCACTATTCAATATATTTTTCTTAAAAGGTTACAATTATTTTTTGTAATGGGAAGGGGATTTTTTGGGAGTGCCGTTTCCCTGGAGACAAAGCCACAACCGTGTGCTTGTGTCTCATTCATTTAGCCGTCATTCACGGCCAGCTAATTATTTTGAACGCCCGGGAATTTAAATGCATCAGGCAACGACGCATTCAGCTGTAGAACAGTCAATACGAACGGCAAAAACTGCACCGATGCACGTCCGTAGCCACGGCAACACGCCGACGCAATCCAACCATCTCCGGCTCAGAAAAAATAAAAAGCCATTCATGTAATTTAATTGCATGTTTACTTACTAGTCCTATTTGCTTTGCTAATGCGACCGTTTATTTTCATAGCAGCAGAGCCCCACTTTGTGCATCTCCCGTTGTGTTTCTTTCTCTCCGGAGGCTTTAAAACGCCTTTGTGTTAAAAGCACCAATTTTTCTAAAACTGTGCTCCCTTTCTCGCTGTGCACAGACACGGTTTGTGAACGCCGGACCAAAGTACGAGTGTTTTTCATTCACTCTCCTCACTATGAAAGGGAGCGAGAGATGATAAGTGAGAACACAGGAGACGCACAGATGCAGAGGAAGCTCGGTGATCAAGCAGAAGGGACAGCATGAATCTCTGCCGGCGATGACATTTTCAGCAGGGTTTAATTCTTCACAAGACTTTTCACCTGGGGTTAATGAAGTAAAGGTCAAAGTAAACATAGCTGAAGGGCAGTCATGGCATTTGGGATTTGAGACAAAAGGATCCCACACCAAGCTCCACACTGGAATAGATGGAAATGTAGCACAGTAATTATGGGTAAATATTTCAATTTTGGTGCAGTATGGGCATACAAAGACCTACAATTCTTATAAAACTGCCACTGGATCTTTGCTTGCGGTCCTGAAAATAATCATTTAGAATATTATAATTCACAGCTCTTTAAGAAACGACTGCTGGTTTATCTTCTTTGGTTCTTTCGGTAAAGTCACGGAGAATGAGAATAAAATAATAAATTGATAAAATAAAATAACACAATAATATTCTCACGTTTCGGCCACAACACAAGCGGCCTTCATCAGGTGAAGGGACGAGACTGTCTGGAGGACAGTCTGTCACTGTCTGGAGGACAGTCTTGTCCCTTCACCTGATGAAGGCCGCTTGTGTTGTGGCCGAAACTCCGTGAGAATATTATTGTGTTATTTTATTTTATCAATTTATTATTTTATTCTCATTCTACGTGACTTTACCGAAAGAACCAAAGAAGATGAATCCTTGCAGTCACGAAAGCTTTAAATCGAGACTGCTGGTTTCTTTTAAGAAACCACTGCTGGATGAAGGGCTCCTCTCTGTGGGGGATAGTAATGGGAGTGGTTTGCCTACACTTCACCAAGCTAGACAGTCCAGGTTGGTGAAAGGGAGCCCAGGATCAGTAAAGAAATCCCCCAACACCAGTGTTAGCCATTGTCAGGAGTCAATCTCAGTTGGCCAGATTCAACGCACCGTGTGCTAACCACTGTGACACGACTCTAACCCGAACATATCAAACAGTTATTGGTAATTTGATGTACCAAGAGTATACCACTATCTGGGTGCCAGAACAGACCACACAAGATTTAACGATGCAATGCCCGATCCACAAATACGGAGGAGACATCACAGCGATACACTCTCGCTGCTGCTAACGCAGTTCTCTGGGGCTTGACCACCTGAACATGAAATTGCAGCTGTTGCTCTGCATATAAATCAGCAGCCGTACAGAAGAAGAAGAAGACGGTGCCGAGGTTGGAATTGAAGGGACAAACGCAAGACTGAAAGGAAGTGCATGTCGGGCGATCACAAGGGCACACAGAGAGCCAGAACTTCTTGCACAATTAATTCCTTAAAAAAAATGGAATTTCCACTTTAACGTTTTTTAACAGACTGCCACTGCACACAAACTCGCCATCCATACTGTGGAATTTCCAAGGCACACACTTGCAAGCAAGTAACTTATGAGTAACCGCTTTAATAATGGTTGGCTCAATAGGTTGCTTTTTGTGAAGTAGAGAACCAATAGTTTTATTGGCACTCACCCAGCCCCTCGGATATCTGACATTTAATCACTGGTACCCATTCAAGGTAAAATTGATTTCCGGGTACAGTTAATGTTTTTAATTTCACATTCTTCTTTGAATAATTGTGGTTTATTAAAAAAAATGTTTGGAAATCAACAGCATGGGTAAAAGTGTAAATACATCCATCCAAAAATATAATATTTTGAAAAGAGCACTACAGCAGGCCCTCTACAAGATATTTTAGCCAACTCTCCCATGCTTGCCAGACAACTTGGAAGAGGTGGAAGTACCCACCACATGAACCTGCCAATCGACTAACTGCGGTGTGCCCACATGTCATGTCGGGTGGATAGAGGCGGGAGGATTCAAGAAACTTGCCCCGTTAAGTCACCTGCCGCGCCGGAAGGCCGAACTGAATCAGCGACCCATGGGATTACGAGTCCGGTCGAGTTCAGTGTGCTAAATGTTACAGGATGCCAAGTGTGGCTGTAAAATGTTAAGTGACTCAGCATATATCAATACATTTTAATTTTAAATAAACTGAGTCATCCTTAATGAAACCCGAGCAGTGAGGATGATTGCCTCGGCCCAGTCAATGATGATAACTGAGAAAGGCACATCCTAAACTTGCTAAATGCACTCAATGCAGTCAACACAGCTCAACAGGGTTAGCAATGGCAAGTAAGCGAATGAATGACAATTAATCGATGGCTTTGATTGAACCGAGACCGCAATTTAGGTTAATTATCTCTTGCGCAATGGAGGCTCAGGGACACTTTACCCACGTTTATATAGGGGATAGGTTGTCAAATTAATGGGCATTTTCTTACTCTTGAATTGTGACTTTCCCATAAACATTTACAACCATTTTATTAATCTACTGCAGGATTGGGGAATCCCATGGCCCCCTACGGACAGACCAATGCCCCAGGTCACGATTGCAAATACAACAGTCCTGTGTCTTTTGATTTAAAGCTTTCGTGACTGCAGTAATTCATGTGTCTTTTAAGGTTCTCACCTGGTTAAAAAAAAAATAGTTTACCTTGATTTAACCATACTTGACCACGCTGATCAGTGCAGGTTAGTGAAGTTGACAAACATAAACCTGTATGCATAGAAGTACAGCACAGCATTGGCCGCCTACAGCACCTGTTATTCATAGCGGTCACCCATAGAAGCACTATCCATGCTCATGCCTGCCCCTGAAATATGAAGGTGATTTGGTCACGGGCTATTCAGACACTAAGTCCGACGAATGGACGTTATATTGCAGGGTCTTTAACATCCATTTTATATCAGACAGTGCTTTGGTAATAACTCACTGCATAAATAACCAGGAGACTGCAGCTCTGAATAGGTATGTAATAATATACCCTGCTGGAAAACGTAATGAACTGCTACAATTTAAAGGGTTGAAATAAAATTCAAGAATTGATTATTTTTGTCACATTCACCATCTCATTTGTGTTGTTCCTCTTTCTTGTTTGTATATATATTTTTTTGCTCTTGTAGCCTAAAAGTAATACGGGCGTATAATTTGCATAAATCCTAAATAATCAATTCTCGCTCGAAAAACTCGGTGCATTCATGCTGAGTATAAGAATACATTTTAATGAATTATGACATACCGAGCATCAAACCATTGATTAGATACTGCCGAGCGGCCTAGCAACGAGTGCACTGCCCACTCACAAGTGATCTGTTGTGACAGGACAGAACTTCAAGACAAAGTTCCACCAGCAACCACGTGTGCAAGAAAAAATACTCGACACAATACCCTCCCCATCCTAATCAACGACAGCAACAATACAAACCCCATTGAGCCGTCTTGAGCAATCATACCTCTCTGTGGTCCTTCCGCACTGAGTAAACGGGAAGGAAGCTCGCCCGGACCAAGACGGACTTCAACATTTCAGAATAAAGAATATTTATTTAGACTGGAGGAATCCGATGAGGTGAAGCTCTTTTTTCACAGATGTCAACATTTAACATTCACCGCTAAGACATCAGCGGCCTGTGAGCCAAACGGGCCATTGCGGTGGCTTTTAAGGACCAGGGGCGACACATGGTGGCGAGAAGTTAACTACCTTGCCTGGTTTCCCGGAGATCGTGGATTCGGTCCCGGCCCTGACGCCTGTATATTTGGAGTTTGCATGTTCTCACCGTGGTCGTGTAAGGCTTAAGATGATAATCAACATGCATTTAGAGTATTTGGTTACTATAAATGTCCATTTCGTTGTGCTATCATTTGTGGCCAGGTCCCTTCTGAAAAAGAGCTATATAGCTCAGTGGGCCTTACCTGGTAAAATAAAAATAGTTTAGTGTTTAGTTTTAGAAGTAATGGGCTTTGTGGGGCCGAGAGAGCAGCACAGAGCTTGGCAGCCAAGGCGCTGTTAATAACAGCGGTGAGCGGAAATGAACGGGGCTGGAGGTTTTTTCTTTTTTCTCTCAAACGCAGCGAGGCATTTATCAGATTGACGTTGATGCATGGACGCGGGGGCTGGCTGCGAGAGGTAACCTTTTAACGGGAAACACAAAGTGACAGCGTACACATGAAATAAGCGAGTCCAATATAATGAGCCGGCGAGAATATTAATATTTAAATATTCTTAAGTCATGCTTCTTGTGTCATTCCTCACTGTAAACTATGCATGTAGCCATGACTAGCTATCTGCTGAAGAGACTTGAATGACATCATGCACACTCATCACATCTACCTATCAAATATGACCACACACCCATTCATCAGATTCCACTATTCTATATCTATCATCTTAAGCCTTACTTGCTGTT